GTTTTTAGATGTGCATTCCAAATCTGCGAGAAGTTTTATGGAAGAAGTTACGAAATTTCTGCTGCTTGGAGTAGAGTACTATCTTCGCGGTTAACGCCCGAAAGCTCTAGTTCTAACCCGAAACACATGTAAGAGCTGATTGTTGTCATTCAAAATATTAAAAAGCACTCTATATTATGCGGAGGCAATATTTTAAGTAATGATTTAAGGAGTATGCACTAAAGTTAATAGAGTTAATAGAATAACGAACTTTGCACGCCTTTTTTTCCACACATTCGAAGTTTAGGTTTAAAATCAGGATTTCAAGCTGTATCATACTCTTATAAGATGCAGGCATTGAAATAATCTTTCACGTCTCCGAAGTTTTATAGTTAGATTTCGTAGCCAAATTTCAAGCGGACAGTTTGTTAACTAAACTCTAGAACTATTACTTTTTTTGCAGTAATCCAGCGAGTGTTCGAGCACGTTGAAAAATGTGAAATCACGTGCTCAAGACTAATCCCGTCTTCGAAAAGTTGTATTTGCCTGTTTTCATCAAACGCAAAGAAGATTGGTGATTAGATGCACTTAGCTTTGACAAAATCTGTCAGTATGGCATTTGTTTCGTTTACAGCCCGTCTTTTCCTGCTTATCTAAAGAGGTTTTTGGCAGCAGCAGGCAAATTATTCCGAAGAATCGAATTAAAGGGCGGTTCAGTCTTTCAGACCTTGATTGCCTAGTTGATGAGTTCAGTAAACATTGAAATGACGCTTTCTTTTCTGGAAATCCCAATGAATTCAAAGAAAATATTCCGGTCTCTTATACTGATCTTATATCACCGTTAGATTTTAATAGGCTTCTAGGAAAAACACCCTGATCTACATCTTCATGTACCTCTGCACCTGTAGTTTAAACCAAATCTACATAAACTCGCTGAACTTCATAGATCACAGTAAAGCAAGAAACTAAGGGAGGGTCTTAAGTCAAATAATAGCGATAAAAAAACCTTGAACTACGCGAGGAGCAGCATATCCACATTTTCCCCCTCGATGCAATGCCTCA